GGTCGAAAGGGAAATGGGATATAAAGAGGGAAAAGGTAATTAGTCGGTTAGGTCTTTTAGTTCTTAGTCTTTAGTTTAGTAGTTACTTCAGTAGTTAGTTGATTTGTTGGCTCTCTGTTTAGTGGATTAGTGGAGTTAGTTGAGTAATACTCTGGGAGTATTCGTTGGACCTTGTGAATAAATAAAGAATCAGTTGCTTAGTTTTAGTGCCTTACATAAATAAATAAATACTTTGTTCCTTCTTTAATGTTTACGGTCCTCTGCTAAATTGGCTACGTAGTATCAAAGTCTCTCCCTTGACCGTGACACTATGATAATCAGATCCTAAATCACACGTAACCGGCAAATCTGTCCGGCTACCATTTTTTGCGGGCGACGCTAGGGTCGTTTCGTTTGTCAATTACAGTCATTCTAATTTAGAATGATGTAATGAAACAATGCTTATTAAAATAATATCGCATATACTGAAACAATTTGGTTGGTGAATTTTATCGTTCAAAAAAGGAATACAACAAAAATTCAGCAGAACATCCAGAATTTAGAGTTAGAGTAGGCCCGTAGGTAGGCCGGCATTAAGCAATAATACTAGCTAACTAGAGTTGAATAGGTCAGAATTAATAAATTTCTTCAAAAATCCGTAAAATAGTATTGACCTACTAAGCAACGCTGTCCAGACTATAGTATAAATTTTGGTCGATTTACTAAATTTTTGCTACTTACTAATCTATCCAAAAAAAAAAGCAACCAAATAAATTACTTTTAAAAATATAAATTAAAAATTAAGTTAAAAAATAATTTATAAAACTAGGTAAATATTAAATAAAAAAATAATTAATCAATATATAGTAACAATTTATATAATTTAAATTTTAAAAATAAATTTAAATTTAATATTAGTTATAATGATTTAAACGCGAACATTTAGACGTGCTCAGATGCTAGTTTTTATTTAAAGATCTTTTTTTTTCGACAATTTACATTTTTCAACTATGAAAATTGTTTATAACAAAAATTTCTATCATAATGTGACCTATCATAATATGATGAAAAAAATTGAAGAGAAAGTTACATCAAAACACTAAAAGTTAAAATAAACTATATATGATTTATGCAAAAAAAGAATTTTTTAAGAGCTAGGAAATTTAATAACAATACAAGAAAATGGATTGCATTGATCAAAATGCTACAAATTTGAGAACAGGAAACCACCAGTATCACCAATAATAAAAAAATATATGAGAAAAATGTATGAGAGAAGAATATTGCATTTAATTATATTATCATTAATTGCAAAAACTATTGGGAAGTTTAGCTGTACAGTCATTAGTACAAGGACCAAAGTGGCAAAAGTTTCCGTTACCATCAAGTTGAAAGATATCACTGCCTTTGTTGCAACCAAATTCAAAGCCACAGGCGCGTCCAGAGGTAGTACCTGCTGCATTACATCCACCGATGTTGGCAGCGTCACAATCACAGTTGGGGCTTACAACGCAACGGGCAGAGGCATTGGAAACAAGAAAGACCAAAAGGCCAAAGATACCGAAGATAATTTGATGGATAGAGAAGTTCATTTTTCCTGGTAGTTACTATTTGAGATTTTTGAGATTTTTGTTTTTTTTTTTTTGTATCTTACTTTTTGTGTTTAAATAACAGTGAACGTTTTTGAGATTTTTTTGTACCGTACTTTCCGTGTTTAAATAATTGTTAAATTCCGAATCTACCGGTAATTTGTTACTCGTTCACCTGTAAATTATAAAACTCTAAAAATCTCGAAAAGGCAAATTTCGGATTCCAGTTATTTAATATTTTCTTTACATAATAATCGCTTTGTCACTAATGAAAGTTTTTACCCAAGTAGGAAGCATCGTCATGAAACAGTAATTTATTCTTTTACAAGACAATAAGTAAATTGACAATTAAGTAAAAAAATTTATAATACGAATAATTCCTTCTAGATTCTCCACGTGTGTAGGCACCCGTATATGCGTGAACAAAATAGAATTAATTTATTCCTTTTTTTTATTTATTTGCATGATTTGTTACAATACCACGCGGTATTGTCGTGAAATAATGCCTCAGGGCGTTACTTTGAGGCACGCAAGTTCCGGAGAGCTAAGAATTAATTTTGACAAAGATTTTTGAAAATAAAATCTGCATTTGGCAAATTTAATTTTTAGCTCTCCGAAATTGTGAACTCGAACCCCGGAATTGTTTCGCGATGATATGGTAAACCTTTTGTACAATACTATAAATAGCATGGTTAAAAATCCTATGATTGGCTAAATGATAAGAAATAGAAACAATATAAACAATATAAAAAGTCATCCAA